GCTGCCATGAGCTAATAAGCTGTGCTATGTGATGCACTTCAACCATAGTGTTTCTGCCTTGGAGCCAGCCTATTGTGGACTCATTGTTGCTTGTTTCTTCTTTGCCACTTTGCTCCTGAAACCATGAGCTAAATTAAACCTTTCCTCACTAAAGTTGTGTCTTAGTTACTTTTCTTATTGCTGAGACAAAATACCCAGCAACCAAAGTTAAAGGAGGAAAGGTTTATTGTAGCTCACAATTTATAGAGGTTTCAATTCATAGTTGGCTAACTCCAAGGCAGGGTGGCACGACAGAGGGACACTGCAGAGGAGAGACAGCTCATAGCAGGCAAGAGGCAGCAAGCAGCAAAGTAGCAAAGAAGACAACAATAAGTGACAACAGCAGCCCTCTTTCTGTCCCTTACATTCCATCCAGGTACCCACCCTTAGGGGAGCAGGTAGCACTCACACCCAGAGTGAGGCATCCTGAATCCTAGCATTGCAGCCAGAATCAGTCCTAGCAGCACATCCTTAACTCCAGCATCATGCACAGTAGATCCAGCCACCTCCAAAAGCCCCACCTATGACCACATGAGTCTTTGGGGGACATATAGATACAAGTCATAACAAGTTGTGAGGGCTGCATATTACTGATGTGTCTCAGCCATGGGAAAGCTGACTAATACAGGATTTTTATAGGGACTTTACTGAACCTACTGATATTTTGAGGGAGGGTTATCATTTTAATACTATGTCTTCCAATCCATGAACACAAGATGCCTTTCCATTTATTTGTATCTTTTATTTCTTTTGCCAGTTTTTTGTAGCACTCATGAAATTGCACAGAATCAGTAATGTTTTGTAGTTTTCCTTATACAAATCTTGCATCCAGGGGCTGAGGATTTAGCTCAATGGTTCTGCCGCCTGCCTTGAAAGCACAAGGTCCCGAGTTTGATCCCTGGTACAAAAAAAAAAAAAAAAAAAATCTTGCACCTCCTTGGTTAGATTTATATTTCTAAACCTTTTATTTTGGTTTTTGATGCTTTTGATACATTGTAAGTGGAATTGTTTTCTTAATTCCCATCTCAGATTGCTAATTGCCAGTGAATAGTAGTACCACTCATTTTGTGTGCTGATCTTGTATTCTGCAACTTCCTTAAATTCATTTATTAGCTTTAATAGTTTTCTTAACACGTGGATTATTTAATATCTCCTGTATATAAGGTGGTGTCATTTGTGTTTCCAATTTGGATGCCTTTTATTTCCTTCATATATTAAATATTGCCTAAGTGATATGGCTAGAAGTTGCAGTATTATGCTAAGTTGGGGGGGACCAACATCCTTGTTTTGTTCTTGATCTTATGGCAGAGGTTTTACCTTTTTACCATTCATTAAGTACATACATATATAGGTACTATATTATGCAGTATATTATATGAAATATAATATATACTTGTACATATATATGTTAATTGACATATAGTAATTGTATTTATGGAGCACAGCATGATATGTTAATCCATCTACACAGTGTATGATGATTACATCAGAGTGATTATCATATCTATTACCTCAAGACATTCATCATTGCCTTGTATTGGGAACATTCAAATCCTCTCTATTTACTGTTTTAAAGTATTCAATTAATTGTGCAACAGCTATGGAATATGGGTCTCCACTCTTTTCCACCTCTTGAAAATCCTGTTAATTCATGCATATGTCAAACTTCTTTCTCTCTAGGGCTCAAGGGATCCAACTCCCTCCAAGCCTTCCCTTCCCATGTGCTGCTTTCATGGTCCTATTGCAAAGTCACCCTTGTTTTGTGTGGTAAAGGGCCTACCTCTCCCAAGGAAGTCTTGCCTTTGGCTTTGGCTAGTGGGGTGTGAGCTCTAAGTTCTTAGAACTTCCTCCCTGATGAATGGTTTGTTTACCTAGGAGCTTTGATAGTCTAAACTAACCAAATAGTTTAACAGGATGTGTGATGGTTGACTGATAGTGTCAACTTGAGTAAGAAATGCCCAACCAAATTGGCTCACCATTGTTCTGGGTGTGGGGGACCCACCCTAGGGAGGATTATGGCTAGAATGGTATAAAAGGGAAATGAAGAAGGTTGGTTTGCTTCTGTTTCTTTGGAGGAGCTCCACCCTTCACTTTCACCTTGGACATTGTCTCCTGGCTTCCAGTGCAGACTTTTCAGCCTCCAGTACAGACCCTTCAGCCTTCCTGCGTAGACCCTTTGGCCCTCAACCACAGACCCTTGGGCCTCCTGATACAGACTTGCATGGGACACTACACTGATCTCTAAGGCCTTCAACAAGATCCTTTGGCTCCCCACTGATCAGACAGACCCTCTGCACTCTTCCACACCCAATTCTGTGGGCAGCCACTGTAAGCCAATCTTGTAAATTCTTAAATATTTGTATATCTTGTATGAAATCTGCTTTCTCTAGTAACCACTGACTGCTACAGTATGGTATATGGTAAGGACTTTGAGTCATGACATCAACTTACCTTCAGAAAAAACTAAAGCCAGTCATGGGACAGGTCAAAGATATCTGTGTGAATGGCCCCTAGGTAAAACCTCAGACAGCAAAGCTCAGGTGAGTGTCTTCGGTTGGAATTCCCAGTGTACACTAGTACAGAGCATTGTCCATACCCCATGGAGAGAGGACCACAGGAAGCTCTATTCCTGGACTAATCCTATGTCCTCCAGGCACCTCCTGATTCACTGACTGTCACCTGTGTCCTTTCACTGCAGCAAGCTGTGGGCCTGAGCATAGCAGCTCTCACTCAGTTGGGAGTCCTTAAAGGGAAGTACCAAAACTGAGCATTATCTCAGTGTAAGACCGAGGGCCTTACCAAACCCTCTGCAAACCCTCTGAGGAGCTGACTGCAGCGAAGAACACCCAGGAAGGAACACACCGGACAAGTTGGAAAGTAAAACAGACCTTTATTAGTCTGGCCAGACGGCACTCCCAAAGCAAAGTAGCTTAGGGAGGCAACTGGCTCAGAGTCCGAGGCTGTTTTTATAGGGGGTTGCAGGGGAAGTTAGCAAGCAGAACTTACAGAAAAGAGAAAAAAATGTTGATGGTCAAAAGATGTTTGCAGATTGTCTTATAGATAGCTGTGTCCGGAACATCGGTTTCGGACGAACAAGGAGATGGGTAATTCACTTAGGAACTCTATGTTTGTTACAGACTTTATCTTGTGTCCCAGAACTAACCAGCATCTTTAACCATTAACTCACATTCAATCACAATTGGGGCTAGGGGAGTTTTATGATTACAAAGTTATGCAGTCCCACAAGAGCTTCCTACCGGGGGCCAAACCCCTGGGAGAACTGTACTCCCCTATAACCCAAATGTAGGGGAGGGAAGCACCCATGTTCTGGCCTTTGATGGATGAACCCAGTATATCGTAGAAGGCTCTCCAGGTAAAGGAAGAAACTAGAATAAGATTGGCATTACTGTTGCCAATATTGCAGAAACATGACTTGTTTCTGTCAACAATTGATGTTTGAGAATTCTGTCACTAATTTAAATAATTAACACTGATTACTAGCCAGGAGAAAAGAATATTAACTTTTTTTTTTTTGGTACCAGGGATCGAACTCGGGTCCTTGCGCTTGCACAGCAGGCGGCGAAACCACTGAGCTAAATCCTCGGCCTAAAAAGAGTATTAACTTTAACAATCATTTTACAGCAATCATGTAGAGACTTGTGTTGAAGTTGTGTTCTGAACTCACTTTGTGTTCATAAGAAACAAAAATAGGAGAAAATTTTAGAATATCCAATATTTTAACTTTTCATAATTTCAAGACTTCAGAGTATCAACAAAGGATACTGAAAATATATTGACTTTTACTTTGTGCAAATTACAATGTATGATCTGATATCTTAATTTTCTGTATTTAAAACTGAATTAGGAATATCTTTATAAATAGTTAACTAAAAGTTAATGGTAAAAATGAATAACTCCATAGTATGATTTAACAATTAAGTTTTATTTTCTAGATATAGTTTATTGTGTCAAATTTATATATTACCTTATAATGGTAAATGTCCTAAAAAGAATGTTTAAGTACTTTCAATTCTAGTACTTTCCTCTCACCTCCCAAGATGTAACAGAATATTGTAATCTTATACCAATGTGTGTGAATTTTGTCTTATTAAACATTGTCTTATTTTATTAAATTGTTTTGTTGGAACCCATTTCTATATTTTGGAAAAATAACAGTATTTTCTTCTTAATTAACAAGAATTTACTTTTTCAAAAAAAAATCTAAAATCCTCATAATGTTTATATTTGCCTGCTACGTTTATAACATTGTTTATGTTTATTGAATTTATTCAATACATGAATTTGTAAATAAAAAAAAGAACAGTAATAAGAATAGCAGCAGCAGTTAACTTTTATTGTTGCTGGCCTTTCTTCCATGGGCCTGTACCGACAATATCACACTCAGGTCTCAGGTCATTCTGAGCCCGTCCATTTTAAAGATGCTAAAACTGAGGCTCCGGTGTCAATAGTACCCTACCATCTTCTATTACTTATTTCTGTGCACGTGGCACATAGCAAACCTTCAATAACCGAGGGTTTCTTTACCCGCTCCAGGCAGGGTGTAGGACAGAGGTCGCCGGGCCCGCGGGAAAGAGGCGGGTTTTAGGGGAGGATCCTCCCGCGGCGACTCAGCCGGCCGGCGGAGCTGTGGCTGCAGAATGGGGCGGCCACTAGTCCCGACGCCCTCACTCAACCTCGTTACACACGACTGACCCTCCCCGAAGGGATGCACAAGTTCGCAGCGCAAGGAGGAGGAGCTGCCCCCGCCCCCTTCCCTGACGACGTCCGTGCCCCCTGCTGTCTATCACACCCGGCCCCGCCCCGCGCGGCTTCCCTCTGCTGGGGAGGAGCGTCGACTCCCGCTCCTGACGTCACACTCTCAGCCGTCCATCACGATTAATCCCTCCCCGCGTGGCTTCAGAAGTTGGCTGGGCTGAGCAGAAAGCACGGCCCGCCCCGCCCCCTTCCTGACGTCATGACCTCTGCCGTCAATCACTCTCGGCTCCACCCCAAGCAGCTGCAGCAATTCGGATAGAGAACCCACATCCGATCCCGCCCCTGATGTCAGCGCCCTACTCCGCCCTCACTCTTGGCCCCGCCCCGCGCGGCTGCAGTAGTTCACGGAGTGGGGGAGGAGGAGCCCATGTCGACCCCGCCCCTGACGTCACGCCTACGCCATCCCCCACGCTCGGCCACGCCCCGCGCGGCTGCGGTAGTTCTGAGTGGAGAAACGAGAGGAGGGTCTGCTGCCAGCACTGACAGCTCCGGATCCCGCCAGCCATGACTTCGGCCCCCGTGGGTAAGGACGGGCGCGGGGCGGCGGGAGGGCAGCTCGGGCTGCTCACACCGGCGGCTGACTGGCTTTCCCGCTTGTCCCCAGAGGCGGAGACCCGGCAGAAGCTGCTGCGCACCGTGAAAAAGGAGGTAGGTGCCGGCGACCCCGGGGCGGGGGTGGCCGAGGCGCGAAGGGCAGCTACTTCAGGGGCGGTCTCTCCCCCGCCCCCTGGGCGCTGCCTTCCGCGGACCTGAAGGCAGGTGGAGTTTGGGGTCCGAGGGCTTCGAGTGGGGGAGGGGAATCTCGGTGTTTTTCATCGATGTGCGGAAGGCAGCGCGAGGACGCCTCCCCCCAGGTGTGGGTGTAGCGGGCAGCGTGTAGGTGGGAATCTTGTAGGGAGCAAGTGGGTGGGCTCAGTGAGGATCTTCCTTTAGTGTTTACTGCCATTGCCCTCCCAGGTTGTTGAAGAGGAGGGGAGAGTTTGTAGTGACCGGGGCAGGAGTAGCATTTAGGTGGCTGTACTGCGTGAGAATGTGTATATGCACACACCTGTGTAGGTGAGGACATGTGGCTGTGTGTGTGTGTATAATGTACACCTCTCTGGAGATAGCTAAGTTAATCTCTATCACGTGTACGTTTATCAGTATGTGGGTATAATTTTCTGAGCGTGAACCTATGTATGTGTATTTGTGTGATACATAAGTCTGCGTGAATGTAAGGCTGCGACCACGTATGTGTTTATGTTGTCCACTCTCATCTCTCAGCCTGAGATACCATTGCTGCCATGTGAATCTTTTTAGTTCTCTGCCGGGGACCCTGCATGGCTGTAGACCTTGTGTGCAAACCTGCTCCCTGTGCTTGGCTTCCCATCCAGTCGTGAACGTGTGTTGAGGTGGCACCACTGAGACATACAGAAGCCCCTTCCTGCAGGAAGGCAGCCAGCCAGAAAGGTCAGCCTCCAGGCTGGGACCTGTTGCTGCCCCACCCTTCACGGGGAGCATGTACACAGATCAGTGTTTATGTGTCTCTGTGTGTGTCATGCCCCTTTTTGTTTAAAGAATCAGCTTTAGGGCTAGCTTCACATTCTGGTGTTTTAAAATAAAGAGACATGCAAGATACATGAGGTTCTTCAGAAAGCCTGGAAGTTTCCATCTCAGCCTTTCTTTTTAATGAAATGGTTGTTCAGTTGAGGAAGGCAGCTGTAGGCAGAAAAGTGTCAGAAAACTCATCTGGGGAAGGTTCTGACTGAGTTCCTGTTCCCAGCTCTGCCAGCAGCCCCTCAGAACCCTGCACAGGTCTAGGACTCAGTTTCCCCATCTGTAGAAGGAAGCAATAGTTACAGTGTTCCAGACCTGGTGCATGTCAGTTGAGGTTGGGCTGCTGGGCAGGCATTGCTCCTGGTGGCCAGAGGGCTGGGCAGCCAAATTTGGGGCTTGGAATGAGGTTTCTCCTGGCTTGAGGCTGAAGCTAGCTTCTCTTCTTGCCCTGCTTGTTGCCTGAGATGGGTAGGGACAGAACCTTGTTAGAGGCAGATCTCTTAAACTGCACATCTAGAATCAGAGGACAAGTTTCTTGGTTGCAAATTCGTGGCTGTTTCTAAATTTATTCTGCATTTATTGAGGCCAATTATTTCATTAATGATAGCTTCTATTTACAGGGGGCAGCTATTTGCCCTACCCTGAGTACACATTAACCTTATGAAGTGGGTGGAGTTGTCTCCATTTTATAGACAAGGAAACTGAGGCTTATGGGGGCCTGGTGGGGGGGACGACCACCAAACCAAGAAGGGGCACAGTCAGGAGTTACCTCCCAAGTCTGTCTGATGTCAGAGCCACAAGACATGCCTATCTATGCCTGTACAGTGCCTCAGCCTTGGAATGTGTGGCTGACATAATCTTCATTGTACAAATGAGAATATCCTGGACCAGAGAGAGTAGAGGTTGTTTCTAGGAGCAGAATAGGTACAGGGGACAGGTTAAAATCTGCCATTTTTGAGCTCCCTGTTGTGCCCCTGAGAGTTTGGTGACAAATCTGTGCCCTCCAGAGCAGACATCCCCTGTTCTTTCCTTCCTTTGCTCACCTCTGGGGACAGCAGGGGTTGAATGGTGGGATTTCTCCAATATTAGAAAGCTCATCTCCAATGGAATGGAACAGCTCTTGCCTAGAAATCTAAGAGTCAGACCACCTCTTTTCTTCTCTCAATCCTCAAGATTCAGAGGAGTTACATCTCTGCTTGTCATAGCCTCACCCCTCTTTTCTGGAAAGAGTACCTTAATGATCAGCTTCTGTTTTAGATAAGCCAGGCATGTGTGCAGGCTTGGTCTGAGCCACTGCAGCCACCAAGGGGAAATTAGAGGCCATGGAGCTGTAACCTCTGTCCAGTGCTGACATAGGAAGTCCTCAGGACCCAGTGCTCAGGTGGCAGGGCAAGAATGTGTTTGGTTAGGGCTGGAAATGTGGCTGAGTGGTAGGGCACTTGGCTACAGCACTTGCCTAGCATGTGCAAGGCCCTGAGTTTGATCCCCAGCACCACACACACACACACACACACACACACACACACACACACACACACGGCACTTGGACTCAACCAGAGCAGAATTCAAATCCTGGATCCAATTCCTGAAAAGATATATCACTGAGCAAGCTTCTGGGCATAGCAGTAAACAAAACAGGCCTGGTCTGTCTTCCTGGCACTGACATCTGACTGCAGGAGACTCTGGCAGACCCTTGAGTGTGATTAGGAGAATAAGGTGCACAAGGTCTGAGGGGAGGCAATTGGCACCACAAGAATACAAAAAGGACTGAGGTACAGCTTAGTAGTAGAGCAGTGGCCTAGCACATGTGAGACCCTGGGTTCCATCCCCAGCATCAAGAAAAGATCACAGAACAAGGCAGAAATGAAACCGTGCAGGGGGTAGAGGAAGTTCTGTAACAAGGATGTGATGTTGAAGAGCATATAAAAGATGAGTAGTCTATGTAGGTAGTGGTGTGAGGTAGGGGGAGAGGAGAAAAAAGCATTCTGGCAGTGGGAAGTGTATGGACAGGGACTGTGGCTGGAGGAAACAAGGTGGATTTGGGGGAAGCCAGGTAGCTGGAGCAGAGAGAAAGAATAATCATGCTGGTGAGACCAAACAAGGGGAGAAGGATGGGGAGGAAGAACACTGGCAATCTGGAAAGAAAGGAGCTGAAATTTAGGGTGCATGGAATTGTGTGTCCTTGAACAAGTGACTGTCTTTATCTTCACAAGGGTCTCAGTTTTGGTTTATCCATTATGGGAATGAAGATTACTCACCTGGCAGTATAACCTATATGAAAATGCCCACTACATTTGCCTGAGCTTCTCCAGAGCAGGATTGAGTTGTTTTAGTGTGTGGGTGTGTGTGTGTGTGTGTGTGTGTGTTTTCCCTTCCCCGGCTACCAAGGGAGAGCTGGAGATAGGATGGCCTCGGTATGATTTCCTCCAGGTGACTCCAAGCAGCTCTACCCTGCTCCTTCCTGGCTCTTGTTGTCCTCCCTGCCACCCCTTAATTTTGTTTTGGTTCCTAGAGCTAGAAGGGATTGGCTTCCTGTTGTCATGACAACAGCCAGTAAAGGAGCCAGCCACATGACACTGGTTGATAAAGGAAGTAAAGTGACTAACTGCCTTGTTTTCCTGCCTCAGGCTGAGGGGCGGGGGAGCAGTTTTTACTGGAAGGTTTGTGGGCAGGAGTTGAGACCCCCGGAAGGGGTCAGGGAGAGGCAGCAAGTCCCGAAGGGAAGCCACATTTAGCTCTGTGAACTGAGCTGCCACAGCCATGACTGTGGAGCCATCATCACAGCTGCTGAGCAAAGAATATCTTGGGAAGTGAGCCGCCTCGTCCCGGGGTTGGGGGCAAGGGGATGGGACAGGAAGTTGCAGTGTGCTAAGCCTGGAGGTAAATGAAGGAAGCGACTGATGGTGCAGTGGGGACTCCATAGATTTGCTCTAACTCGATAGTCTTAATGAAAGAAGAGGGAGCAGCTTTACTGACTCCACTTCCAAATTGCATTGCCACATGATATATAGGTTGCCCACATCAGTTCTACATTTCAAGTAGAGTATGGTGGTGCACACCTGTGATCTCAGCTACTTGGGAGGCTGAGGCAGGATCACTAGTTTGTGAGACCCTGTCCCAAAATAAAACGCTAAAAGAAAAAGGGTTGGGGCTATAGATAGAGCATTTGCCTGGCATGGGGGAGACCCTGGGTCCAATTTCCAGCATTATATATATTTTTAAAAGCCTGCAATTCAGATGAGCAATGAACAAGTTTTCAGAATGAATATATATTACTAAATCTGGCAACCTTAGCCAGAGTACATTTGGCAATGTCTGTAAACATTTTGGTTGTGGGAAGAAGTCAGGGTTGCTGCTCAATGTTCTACGAGAACAGGACACCCCCACCCCACCCCCACCCCCACCGCCTTCACCCTGACCAAGAAGTATGTGGCCCAGTGTGACAGTACTGTGCCTTATCAGAAATGCTTGGGATTGGAAGTTTTGAGTATCCCCAGATTTTGAAATGTTTCTTGTAGGTGGGACCCAAGTCTACCAGTAAAATGCTTTTGTACCTGGCATGAACCTTGTTTCTGTAGCCTGGAGTTAATTCTATACAGTGTTGCCAGCATTTTGAATGTGACCCTTTGCATGAGGTCAGATGTGGAGTTTTCCACTTGTGGCATCAAGTCACAGTCAAAAAGTTTCTTTTGGTTTTTGGATTAAAAATGCTCAAATAGGGACTGGGGATTTAGCTCAGTGGTTCCGCTGCCTGCCTCGAAAACACAAGGTCCCGAGTTGGATGCCTGGTACCAAAAAAAAAAAAAGCTCAAATAGTCCTGTGTAAGGTACAAACCTACAGTCAGTCAACAGTGTGGACCTGGTACCCACTGTGGCCCTATCTTTCTCCAGCCAGTCTGATGCAGATGTCCTTTTGAATGCTTCTCTCATTGCTTTTAAATTGTTTTGTGTGTATGTTTGAGGCCCAGAGGGACAGCACGGGCAGTGAGAAAAGGTCCTGACTCTTTAGCTGTCACCCAGGACAGACTTCATCGTGTCTCCATGTCTTCCCTGCGCAATGAGCATAGGCCATGGGAGAGAGATTGGACTCTGTGATACCATTGAAGATGCCCAGTTCTTGCCTGCTCTGGAGGGTCGCTTTGTGCCAGGCACTGTATCCAGCGCTCCTCAAGCATTGCCTCCATCCCTCCTGACAAAGTCTCAAGAGGGAGAATCATCATCTCCTTTACTGGGATATATGAAGAACTGAAGGCCCAGAGATGTGAGCAACCAGTTTCAAGGTCACCTAGCCAGCCCACAGAATAGCCAGGATCCTGCCTAGACAGATCTTGTGACTCTGGCTTACAGAGGGCAGTGGTAGGGAGCTGGGAACTTCAGACAAGTACTGGAAACAGCTCAGAATCCCGTGTATGTAGAGGAAGCAGATGAGGCAGGAAAGTCCACTTACCTCAGCTTGTGCAGGATTGTGATTGCCAGGCTGTAGCCCTTGGATTTGCCCCAATAGATAGCAAGGAGCTATAGGAGATGTGTGAGCAAAGGAGGGTTTGCTTTGAGTTGTACCTCAGGAAGTTTCAGCTGATAGCAGTGACCAAGGCTGACATTTTCTGCCAGTTCTTAAAAGAAAACTTCCTTCTTTCCTCTCTTCCTTCTTCCTCTCTTTCATTCCTTCTTCCATAAATATTTACCAAGTATGTACTATGTCTTAGGCCCTGTTTTAGAAGGTGCAGGTTGAGAAGTGAGATGAGAGTCATTACATGATCTCATTGAATGTACAGCCTAATGGGGGGGCATATAGATGAATGATATATCTTAAAGGTGACAAGTGCTATGAAGCCTGTAAAGACTGAAGGGGGAAAGTTAGGGAGGAATGTCTGACGCCTATTTACAGTGAGCAATTAACAGGCCAACCTGGCAGCTGCTGAGCTAGAAGCCTTTCCTTCCTCTTAAACCCCAGTACCCTCATTCAGGGCAGGTTGGGAGAAGGACCTGGGAAGGGTTTTTGTAATACTTGGGAGCCCACAGGCCACCACTTGGTCATTTTGCCCTCCCTTCTCCCCTTTCTGTCTCATCCAGGCCTGGCCCTGGGCTGTGGGACCCTCTCCCTGCTTTGCAGTCATCACCTGTGCTTTGTGGGAGTGGCCGGAGGGGACAAGTGTCCCCTGGACCTGCACAGGATCCACCCCCCACCCCCCACCCCCCAGTGTTTGCTGAGAGCCTGCTGTGAGAGGCACTAGGGACACAATGGTGAGAGCTCAAGAGGGGTCCCTGCCTCCGGGAGTCTGCAATCTGGAGAGGAAGGACCAACAATGGACAAGCAAACAGATGGAAAAGTAAAGTTGATTCAGCAATGGATGAGAAAGGGGGGAAGAGAGGCTGGGGTGCAGTTAGGATGGGCTTCTCAGGGGAGACATCAACTGAGTTGGTAGTTTAAAGATGAAAAGGAACATCTGTGGGAGACTGAGAACAGCAGAACCAGGCACTGAGGAAAGAAGTAGCTTGCAGCATTTAGGGAAAGCAAGGGGGCAGGGAGTGAAGAAGAGAGGGATGGGAGACAGGTCAGAGACAGATCAGGAGAGGTGACCCCCCCCCCCAGGACCCTGAGTGCTCCCTGGGATGCTCCTTGGAGAGGTGGCAAGGAGGGCTTCTGAGTTGTCCCCTCCTGACACCTTTGTGAAGACTCACCCCATTGCAGGTCATGCTGTGCTGAGTCCTCGGAGAAGCTGGTTTGGAAGGAGGAGCTTTGCAGGAAGCTTGAGCTTGCTGCCTGCATCCTCCCTAGTGCAGAATGAGGAAAACATATTTGTTTCTTTTTTAATAGACTTTATTCATTTATTTTGCATTGCTGTGAGGCAGTACTCATTGAACCCAGGCCTTGTGCATGCTAGGCAAGAGCCCTACATCTGAGCTTCACTCCAAGCTGTAGTTTTGATTTTATTAGAGCAGCTCTAGGTTCATACCCAAATTGAACAGAAGGTACAGAGATTTCCTGTAGATACTCCATCCCTGCACATGCACAGGCTCCCCTGCTGGACTCTTCCCTCTATGGTGTGTTTATTGTAATTAATGAACCTGCATTTGGAGCCTGTGGTTTATATTAAGGTTTATGGTTGTTGTGTGTTCTGTGGGTTTGAACCAGTGTATAATGACATGGACCCACCATCATCATGCTGAGCATTTTACTGCCTTACAAGTCCCTTGTGCTCCATCTATTTCATCCTCGCTTCTCCCAACTCCTGGAGGTGGCTGATCTTTTTACCGTCTCTATAGTTTTCCCTTCCCCACAATGTAGGATCCTAAGTGTGCAGCCCTCTGGATTGGCTTCGTTTACTAATAGGCATTTAAAGTAGGGCATTTCTTTGTCCAAAGGGATAGGGGTAGTGGGAAGGGCAGGGGAAAGGAAAGAAGGGAAAGGAAAAATTATGAGAAATGGAAAAAATGGAAATAAAGTCTTTGTAAATAGGGAAGGGTGGAGGGGGTGAAGGGAGGGCTAGGAATGGGGAAAAAATAAGAACCAAGACACATCATATAAAGGTACAAGTTCCCAATGAGAAATGTAATTGTGTTGTATATCTAAAATGTACCAATAAAAGAATTTACAAAAAAAAAAAAAGTAGGGCATTTCTTGAGAACCTACCTGTGGCAAAGAAAGGGAGCCAGGAAATGTCAGGTCTACTGAGAGAGGTGGGCCATGAAAACCAGTGGCCCAGGGCAGAGTGAAGCTGGCAGGTACTGCTGGACACTGGCTCCGGGAACAGGGAGCTGGCTGTCACCCCATTACTTAGTGTAATTGACTCAGGGTGCAACACACTGGCTACCTGGCCACCCTGCTGCTGGAGTCCCCACCTAAGGCAGCCTGAGGTGCCAGAGCAGGAAGTTTGATTCAAGTCTTGGCCTCTCCACAAGCCTGATGGTTCTTGCCTCTCACATTAACAGCCTTATTGGGAGTGGGGCAGCTGCTGTGAATCTTGGGCTCTTGAGCATAAACCTCACTACAGGAAGCACCCACAGGTGTTTGTTGAATGAAGAACCACTCTGCTGTATGCCAGGCTTGGTATGGGAGCAATAGTCCTGGATTTGGATCCCCACCCTGCCACTCCCAAGCTGTGTGTTCCATGGCAAGTCACTTGACCTAACCAGGACTCAGTTTGCTCATCTGTAAAATGGCTCTGAGCTACCTTACTGAGCTTACCTTACTGAGCTACCACAAGGATTAGGTGAAGTCATGCCCTTAAGCATGGTACCAGCACATAATGAACACTTTAAAAGTACATGCTAGTTGTTTCTACTTAAAACAAGTGTTCAGTGCTTTTACTATGCAACAGTTATTGCATTAAATACTTGAAATGCACAGTGCTCTCTCAGTATTAAGGGACATGGATTCCAAGAGTCCCCGAGATCCCAAAATGTATGGATGCTCAAGTTCATTATGAAGTTCAAGTTCAAAATGATGTTCAAGTTCATTATGATGCTCAAGTTCAAAATGATGCAGGTGTGTGTAGGACCTGTGTACATTCTCTTGTATACTGTATTATCTTTGGGTTACTTGTAGTATTATAGAAATAGCAGTTATACTGAAATATTGAGGGAATAATGTACATGTTTACTAAAGCTGAGTTTTTTTCAGAATACTTTCAATCTATGGGCAGTTGAATCTGCAGATATGGAACCCTCAGACATGAAGGATTGATTGATCATCTTATACCTGTGAGACACACTAGTGTCACCCATTTCACTGATGAAACATCTGAGGCTCAGAGAAGGAACATGGACTGCCCGAGATCATATATTCAAGATCTGGAATTCTGGAAGTTGAATTTCAGAGCCAAACGCTCATAACCAAGTAGTAGCAGGGGTGACACTAGGAGCTCAGAAAAGGGAGAACCATGAAAACCTTGGTGTGTGTCTCAGGAGTGGATAAGGAGAGGTCATGTGATTTGGCCCTCCAGGACTGGGGGATTTTTCCAGAGCTGGAGATGGTAATAGGAGTGGGTAGGGATTGAGTGGAGGGGGCTGCAGGAGGCAAGGCCAGATGGTAGGAATCACTTGGGTCACACGGAAGGAATGGCAAGTGGGACAAGGCTCAGGTTGCAGAGATGGGGAGGGACAAGATTCAGCAGGAAAGGAAGATTGGGCCACCCATGGAAACAGTCATATCTGCAGAATGGCCCCCTCCTTCCTACCCGCCTCCTTCGGGTCTGTCTGTGTCTGTCTTGGAGCTTCCCAAAATACTCCAATTCCCACCCCCACCAGCCCCTCCTATCTGTCACTGCCTGCATGCCTCACCCATAACAAATTAAAAAATTAACAACTGCCAGCTCTTTCCATATAGTGCTTTTCCTTGCCACATTGTCCTTACATTTGTTCCTTTGGTGAGCTCTAGGGCAATTCTGTGGAGGCAACTGCAGGGGTGGGAGGGCAAATTTTTCTGTCTGCTTTAAAGTTGAAGAAGCTAAGAGAATTAATTCTACTTGTATTTCAGATCTTGTGCCTTCGCCACCTCCAGCAAGCCCTCCCTGACCTCCTCTTCTGTTATTTGTTCTCATAGAGCCACATTCCCTGCTGCAGAGAACTGGTCTCGTGTTCCCATTTACCCATTGTGTGGCTTAGTTTATCTCTTTCGTGTCTGTGGACACACAGGAGGCATTCCAGAGATACAGAATGATTGAATGACACTTTGGGTTCATGTGATAAGTGCTTGGAAGGAGGTACTAATGGGACTTATGGAAATGAAAACATACTTGTTTACCCTGCTTGGAGAACCCAGGGAAGCTTCGAGAAGGAGGTGATGTCTTGGCTGAAGATTGCAGCATGAGTCACAGGTAGCCATCTGGAGCATCAGGGAGGAGCACCTGTTGAAGGCAGGAGAGATGAGCCATAATAATGCTGCCTTTGGGAACCTGGTCTGAGGGTCAGTGGAAAGAGTTCCCAGCCTGGGAAGAGATCTGTACCCAGTCCTGAGGGCTCTTCAAGCAGGCAGAGTGGTATTGCCTGCCTTCTGTCAGCCCCCTTACTCCATTGGTTGCCAAGGGGCCTTTAAGTCACCACCCCCACATGCACACACTTACCCCACATGCTGTGAATTATTTTTAATGCCACTCTGGAGATCCTTCTCGGTGTCCTAACTTAGCCATCCTGTTCTCTTCCAGTTTCTTACAGATAAGAGTCAGGGCGCCTGGGGCTGCATCCCATAGACAGAGCATTGCCTCAGCGTTACTCACCCTCTGCCCCATCACTCTTCTCCAGGTGGGGCATAGGGCTGTGACCTGAGTGTAACGGAAGCGGTAGCCTGGAGGAACAGTTAACAGCTTGGGTGACTTTCGGCCTCCTTTCTGAGTACCACCAGCCCTGCCTTCAGTACTTTTGATCAGGGATTCCTAGGGGCTAAATCCAACCTGTGTCCACCTTCAAGCTGAGAATGTTTTTGTTTTTATTATTTTTTTTTATATTTTGAAAGGGTTGTGAACACAAAAGAGACTGCGTGACCTAAACTGTATGTGGCCTGTAAATAACTTTGCGAGGTTCAACAAATAAAAATAGTTTGCCAGATATAGCAAATAAAAATTCAGAATGCCCAGTTAAATTTGAATTTTAGAAAAACAGCCAATACCCCATGCAGTATTGGAGATAATACTTTTACTAAAAATGACTCTTTATTTGTCTGAAATTTAGATTTACAGCCATTCTATGTTTTCTCTGGCTGTCCTACCCCAAACCCTGAAAGATTGGCTATCTGATCCTTTATAGGAAAGCTGCTGGCTGTGGCCTTACACATGTCATTGTGATTGGGAAGGAAAGGAGCCCAGGACACTACCTGGCCAGAGCTCCCTAAGCATTGGCTACTGTTGTTAATGTAATCAGCATGACTCACCAACATGTATTGAACACCTACTGGGGTAGGTCAAGGTCTTCATGGGAGAGATGGGCATTAGACAGGTAAACCCAGAGCTGTGTAAAGAGGTGTTGATACAGTGAGTCCTAAGGAAAAGGACAAGCAGAGTGGAAGGGTAGCAGTGGCATGCCAGACAGGCTGGTTGGCAAGCCCCTCTGAGGAAGGACATGTGAATGAATCCTGAGTGAAAGGGTGGGAACAGGGTATGTGGGGGTCCCCCACCTACCTAGCACATGCCTGGCTACCTGGCAAATGCATGTTATGACTCACTGACTTCACACAGTCCTAGAAGGTGGTGTGGGTACAATCCCTATTTCACAGCGAGGAAAGTGAGGTCTAGGGTCACCCCACAAATGGCCGAGCTGGGCTTTGGGGGCTCCCACTATCACAATCCTACTTGTGTCTCTAAAGTACCTCCTGGATTTGGTGCCAACTGTATACTGAGTCCTGTTAGCCTTCTGCCTGCATTTTCCTTAATCCTTATGACAACTCTGCATGCTGGGGCGTGTTAATCCCATCTGGGACATAGAAGAATAAACAGCCGGGTGGGAGGCAAGGAGGCATAGTGAGATGATTGGTGAGGTGGCAGGTCTCAGATGGGCATGAGGGTACTTCGTGTGGGCAGGTAGCAGGTGTGAGGAGGGGAGAAGACAGGGCAGGCAAGGGAGCCCCAGGAACCCCTTTTCCCGATTCACAAACTGGTCCTGATTTCCCTGCCTGGCCTGACTCCTTCCTCAGATTAATTCTCCTTTCATGCTGTTTAAATATTTGCAGGTGGAGGAAGATGGGGAAGGGGGCTGGTCTCCAAATGGAGTCAGGGTGGGGCTGGGAGGGGTGGGCCAGGTGCTTAAAGGCTGGACATGAAGGAGGCCAGCTGGGCCCTGATTGGCCTGCAGACAGGAGCTCTGGAAAGGTGGCCTAGCACTGAAGGGCTCCCCAGCAGCTGGCCAACCCCTAAACCCCATGAGGACCACTGTGGACCAGGCCAGGAGACTCCATGTCTGCTCAGGATTGCTGCCATTTGTAGAGTCCCTTCTGCATGTTAGACACTTTCCACACCCCTCAATCCTCACATCACCCAAAAGAAGTTGAGATGTTGTTGTCAACCACCCCATGTTACAGGTTCCACACAATGCCAGAACTTCTGGGCCCTTAGCCTCTTAGCTGTCTCCCGATACCCTGTCCTTCAGGTAATGAACTGGTTCTAAAGAAGTGACTCGCCATCATTGGAGGAATACAAGTTGATGGTGCAGGTCCCCTTAGAATGAACGCTAGAGAGGGGTAAAATCTTCCTGACCACTCTGATCTTTGAGATCCCCCCAGAAAGACACCACAAGATGGGTTGTCAGTCTTGTCATGCCAACCCTGCTCTCAGTGTTTCTTTCAGTTCCCAAGTTGGAGTGGCCTGAGGGCTCTCTTCTTACAGGTTTCCCAGCCCCTTGGTTTTCAAGATGACTGACTGGGGCTGGAGGCAGGGCTGTAAGTCAGGACATTGGAAAGGCCTAGGTAGAAGTACCTCCTGTGCCCTTTTTTGGTTGTGTAACTGGGAAAACTGCATAGGCCCTCTAAGCTTCAGTTTATACTTTGGTTTTTTTGTTGTTGTTTTTATTTGTTTGTTTATTTGTGGGGGAGTGGTACTGTGAATCAAACCCAGGGCTTTTCCTGTACCAACCACATGCTCCACCCCTGAGCTACACCACCAGTCCTATGCATCTTTAGAATATGCTCAAGGGGATTGAGTGAGTATTCTGTCCCAAGCGTCTGGCTCATAATAGATGTTGAGTAAGCCTTCTCCCTCACCTTCTGCTGGGGGATAGCAAAGACATTTGGCTTGAAACGGCCTTTGGCTTCTGTGAGACAGGGGCCATGGATCTGTTTCCTGCTGCCTCTGCATGACCTTTGGGAGGTTATTTGTAAAAACAAAAAAAAAGCGTGCCTCAGTTTCTCCACTTGTGAAGTGGAATAATTTGGCAGCTGACATTAGGATTGTTATGCTTATACACTGTCCCTGGAAAGTAGTGAATGCTCAAAAAGAAGTGAACTTTGTCATCATAAAATCCCTACTGTGTGTGAGCACTGCTGGCCTGTTCACATTTACACCCATGGAAGCCTCACTGCAGCCCTAAAGCCCCCACTTCACATCAGAGCACACTGAGGTGCCAGTGGTGTGACCTGGCTGGTGTGTGAACAGGTCTGTGTGGCTCAGAAATGTGTTACCACTCCTCTGCTCTTGCAGCTTGGCAGGATTCCTGGGTTTAAGCTGAGAAATAACACTCAGGTTGTAACCGGGAAATCATGCCACTGCCACTGTCCCCAAACCACCCTAGGTCCTTCTGATTTACATTGCCCAAAGTGGACAAAATCAAAGCCCACTTTTGGGACCCTGAGAGGATGAGAGTGAATGAGCTAGATTTTGGATCTTCCCAGGCCCTAGGTCCTCTGCCCCTGCCTATTGGTGTGGTCCATCCCCATGTGGGCTCCTCCTCAGAGTGAGCAGTAGACTCTTTCTTCCTGCATGGAAACAGTGTCCCCATCTGCAAGAACCTCTTTCTTCTGTGTGTGGGAGGCTGCCACCCCCATTGCTAGTCATCAGCCATTTTAATTTCCTCTCCTGGCCTTGGGCTGTCAGCCTGTTATTAACTTCTGGTAGGATAGTCTAGCCAATTGCTGGGAGCCAATGCAGGTGGAGAGGGGTTCTCCCTTGCACCCACCCTTGGTGCTGCATCTCCATCTCCATCTCCATCCCTCACCTTGTCCCAAATTCACTCCCAGGATGAGAGGCTTGAAGCCAGACAGCAGTAGGCTCCTCACTGTTACCAACTTCCCAGCTGTGTAACCTGGGGAGAAGGGCTCAACTTCTCTGAGTTTCTAGATCCACAGCTGTAAACACAAACTCCACTCTGCAGGGATTGGACTTGAGACAACGTGTGTATACAGTCAGGATACTGATAGGAAACAGATAGTTCCCCCAAACTGGGCACAGGAAGGTGAATTTAATAAAGCTGATATTGATTAAGGTAGGGGAAGGATACTAGGAGTCCCTAAGGCAGAATGTAGCACCCCATGACCTGTTAACAGTGGGGAACCAGGAGTCATTAAGGTCTGAAAGGAATGGGTGAGAGAATTGCCAGAAAGGGACTAGCTCTATATGGAGAGGTCCTGGACAAGAGCTCTGGTGGCTAAGTCCCTCCTAAAGAAGCTTGAGACACTTCTGACTTTATATATCCACCCATTTATCCTCCAGTATCCCTGTGTCATTTTCCTTCCTCTCAGATTCTCTTAAGCATGTGGAAGAGTCATCTGGAAGGCTTGATGTACACCCCACCATTTCAGATTGAGTTGTCTCAGTGGGGGCTAAAAATTTGCATTTCTTATGTGGTCCAGGTGAGGCTGACACTGCAGGACCACAGGTTGAGCAGCTCTGTCTACTGCATAGCAATTTCACTTCTTTTAACTCATCCAACCCTGGGTCATTGAACTAAAAGCCCCTCTAGGTCAGAACGGTGGCCCCATCTGTGTCACTACTCACACCTGGCAATTGGTATCCAAGATCTGATAAGAGGCCAGCCTCTGCCACCTGCCCAGCTGAATTCAGGGACACTTGCACCTGGACTTTCCTGACTGCTGCTCCAACCTATCCACACTGCTGCTTAGCAGTCCTGGGTGGAGATGGGGTTGGCATGCAGGAGGCTTATGAGGCATATTAGGGTCTACATCCAGCAGGAATGTGCAGAGGGGGATGTTGACCACCATGTGGCCTCAGTAGAAACCTCAGCCACCCCTGTGGGTTGGCCTGTGGGTAGATGGAGACAACTCCTCAGCTGTCTTGAGCAGGGGCACAGTTGCAGCAGCATCTTTATACCCAGCATGCACCGGACCTTGGATATGGGTCACCCTGGGAAGGACTGAGACCTAGAGGAGGCTCTCTGC